TCTCCAAAGTTTCAACATACTGACCGAGGACATATCCGCATTAGTGCCTAGTTGCTTTCAGGTAAACCTCTATGCAAACTCGTTTTCAAGGCTGCAGTCTCCTGTCTTGAAGCACTAGCACCAGCGAAGGACTGCCCCGTAACTTAGGAGATGTTCCTTACACAAGTCCTACTTCTGGCCTCGTCGGTTTATGTGCTCGGGCTGAAGCGGTACAAAAGAAGAGTTTGAGATAGCGTAGGATCTGATGGTCCTAGACAAAATCGTTCTTTATATGTAGTGCAAAAAAATGAAGTAAAGAGCATGTGAGCTGTCATTGGCAGAAGGACTATTGTCCTAGGTATTACCAGCAATATTATCGGTCTAACGCTGCCAAAGGGGAACAGAGACGTCAAGTCTGAAAAATGCCGCAAAACTTCCTCGCAAACCTGACGATTGAACGCAAAATAATTATTGTTACTATTAATTATGCACAACAGATTGCGCCATGCCATCTTTCTTACTTTCGAGCTCTCTACAGATCCAAGTAAATAAGAATAAGCAAAATCAGTGCTGACCTATTCTTCTTTTCGGAATGCGCCACACATCATACTTTCATCCTGAGTCGTAATGAAATTTCAACGCAATCTGGCCTATGCAATGAACTGAGGGAGCCAATAGGCATAATGTACAGCCCAACGTAACCATCCTCCAAGATAAATCTGGCGCCAATTGTCCAAAGAGGAATAGACGACTCGGTTGACTTGAGCCATCTGAGAATTCGATCCCGAAATCGTGCGCGTGGTAAACAGCGCCACTTGCCATCGCACTACTTCTATACATCCAAGTGTGCACAAAATTTTCTAGTTCGTAATTCCTAGAGTCTCGAAAGCGGGGATTTTTCCCGCCCTATTCCAAGGGTCTATGAGAGCATTTGAAACCGTTTTTTGACTTGAAAGCCTGAAAGCATGAGATGCGCCTTGCGTTTTCTGCTCTGAATAGTGAGAGAGCATGCTAAGACTTTGATGGAAATCACTAAACTAAATGCTCAGAAAGGCTGCTAAAAGAGGAAATTTTAACAAGTTTCTATCGCAGTAATTCCACCATGTTGTCAAAAATTTCATTTTATAAATATAAATCTAACGAAAGTATCTGGACGACCTGTAAGATCATAAATCAATTACGCCAATAAAGCGCCGATTGTATTCTCCAGTCTTAGCTCCTTAAGAAAGTACCGCTTTACAAGCGTTGCTGATAACCGCCGCGCTCAGCTCGTTGGTGGCGGCGACACCGTTGTATACGGTATCGCTGAATAAGGCCTTCCACCAAAGCTTATTACTATCGATTTCAACCTAGTTCCTCTTCTACTCGTATAATTAACCTAACATAGTGCGCATCTGAGACCTAATTGCCCTTAGGTTCCAGCTAAGGCAGTGCCCTGCGGACCTTGAATGGAGGTCGAGCTCGTAACGACGACATCGCGTGCCAGACCAGGGCCACGTCTGGTTCCCATAGGCAAAGGGGCGGAGTTGAAAGAAACTGTAAGTGCTAGTTCCCAAGTGTTGTATAGTTTCTCTTACACACACTACTCGACTACTAATCACAACTTTCTCAGGTAATTTTGGCTTATTTAATCAAATACAATTACAAGGAAGCTTGTTCCTTTGATGCGTTTTAAGAAATAACTCTTAAGACTCGGGAACCCCACGCTAATTGAAGAGCTCGAGTGATTGTAGCAGTAAACTGCCTTCTCCATATAACATGGGATTTCGCTGAATTTCTTGTGGTGCCTCGGATTGAGAGCAGTGAGGAGCGACAGTATCTTGGACAGTTGTAGATCCCACCAAAATTATGGGATGAGCTGAATATCTTGAACACGAACATTAATCGTTGATTCACAAGAATGCTGGGTTGTGAACAAAACTTTCGCCCCAGGCGGGACTAGAACCCGCACCTCTCGCTTTCCGGGCAAGTGCGCTACCAGTTACGCTACCGGGGCACCATTTCATCCCAACAAACATAAACTAATCGTTGAATTTTACATTGAATCATTTGTTCTTATGTTGCTGTTGAACTTTAATTGCTTTCTTGCTGATTTCTTACATTACCTCGGAATCCTTTACGTACAACTACTTGAAAACTAAGATTTCATCCTCGGCGGAAGCGTAACCTTACCACTCCTTCATCTCTAGCTTTTTACCTTCCTTACGCCTACTGTGCTCACATGGCTACTGTTTCAGCAATGCAAGAGCGCCTCCCAAATAAGACCCTATTCAAATACTCGCTCAAAGAAAAACCATCCTCACACGTCCAAGTGACGTTCCAATTTTGAGCACATGGCTGGCGCTCCAGCGATTTCTGAATTCTAACAGTTTGAGTCTTTAAACCACTTAAGGTGTTCTTGGTGTCTGCAGCTCTGCAGCGTTGGGATTTTGGGCTTTATAGATGTTATACCCGATTTTGTTCACCATTAAACTACGTATTTTCCCAATACAACGAGTTATTTCGGAGAGAAGCAGCCAGTTGATTAACCCAAGGTTGAGGTACAGATCCTGTTCCTGAATTATGCGCGTCACCAACCTAGCTGAAACTTTGCAAGAAGCTGCAGGAGAATATAGTTTTGTTTCTCAACCTTAATTTGGGGTGAAGTGTAGTTTGGCAACATTCCAGGCGCAATATGCTTCTACGTTTCCGAACCATAACGGTAGCAAGGTGAATCTCGGAATTTTAACCTAGGTCGATCATCTTTATCAATATTATTTAGTTATTTATCTACTAAATGCTAGATTATGTTTTACTAAGTATCCCTTAGTGCGTCAGGAGAAAAGGTGAGTCGAAAAACAGTATAATGATTAATAATTTTGTAGCTCTCGTAGAGTGCGCCATGTGTCGATTTACTAGGGTTTAAAGCCAAAGGAAAGAAATATGTTTCAAGATTCATAAATTCCAACACTCATCTATTTAAAACAACAGGTAGAGTTTCATTTCAACGACTGCTTACAGTACAGCGCAGCTTCCTAGAGCATTTCCTATTCCGTCCAAAGGCACTTGCAGAACGAAAGTCGAGCTAGTCCTTTTGTTCTTCCGCTCCCCCCCCCCTCCCCCTGATTATTTTTAAGTTGCATGTTTACACTCTAATCTAACAATTTTTCGTTCGGTTATAACAAACCCATAACTGCAGCTTCTAGGGAATAAAAGAATTTCCCTAGATGTGTCAAGAACTACTAGTTTCGCAGTTCGGCGAATTGTATTGGTAGATAGCACCAGTACTGGGTGTAGAATAGATCCTAGAGCATTTCGGAATAATAACTTTTGGCTCAGCCAAACATTGCAACCGTGAATTCGATGTCCTATACTTTAACCCTTTGACGACCGCCGTTGGCGTGCGCCACTTCATTTGTTCTTAAATTTTCTCATCGATGGACATCAACTCTCCAACAATTTCATTATTGAGCATTAAGCACATTGTTTGCGGTCTGAAAATGTATGCAGGCTGTTTTGAAACCTAGAAAAATGCTAATAAACCACGAAAACAAGTCGCCTTCTAGTAAAAGTGGGGCCCACCAGCAGGCCACACGGTCGTCAAAAGGTTAATTTTCCTTGTACGTAGCAATTAGAGAATGCGAA